CAAGAGTGTCTCACAAGAGTGTCCCTTAAGAGTGTCCCACAAGAGTGTCCCGCAACAGTGTCCCACAAGAGTGTCCTACAAGAGCGTCCCACAAGAGCTTCCTACAAGAGTGTCCCACAAGAGTTTCCTACTAGAGTGTCCCACAAGAGTGTCCCACAAGAGTGTCCCGTAAGAGTGTCCCACAAGAGTTTCCTACAAGAGTGTCCCACAAGAGTGTCCTACAAGAGTGTCATTTGGACATATGTAGCTTTTCGAACGTGTTTGCATTCGGGTTCGTGGGCTCCACCTTGTTTTCTGTAGGAGAGAGTGTGATAGGATGACAATGTTGGTAGCTGCAGAACCAAGTACCTCACTTGGTGCTCATTCTCCGCATCATCCCGTGCATAGGTGAGACGTTTGCGCTGAGGCTTTGAGCACGTCTCACATACTGTCTAATCCTTCTAGTCAAGTCCTCATCCCGAGCCCTGTCTCATCCTCGTCCTGTCTTGTCATCCGCACGGTCCAAAGCAAGCTGCACCCCTTTTTCGACTCAGGACATTCAGGCTTCCATGAATTGAAACCATCTAGCTCCAGGACAAACAATGGAGTAGTTCCTTTCTTCATGGTCCTTCGATGTTTGATATACATGGCCTCAGGGGCTGCCCGAAGCCTGTAACAGTGATAGAACGTGTATTAAAGTCTTTAAACAGCTTTAAGCAGTTTGGTGCTTTGACCAAGTCTGGCATTACTCTAATTTGAGGGCTTTGCATCCTACCACTCATCCTACCCAGGCTTCCTTGCAGCAGCCCGACCTGGGCGCGCATGACTCACTTCTGTACACCTTGCAGCGTGATGGCCGCTGGGAGGCTGCGCAGCAGCATGTGCAGAGCATGCGCCACGAGGGTGTGGAGGCACCCAGATCCGGCAATGGGAGCGCGCGGGCGCGAGGTGAACTTCTGGATCATGTTTGGCCAGGTCTATTGGCGGGCTCAGGCTCCAGAAGTGATCGATTTGTCTCTATCGCTGGCAGGCTCTATCGCAGCAGCTCAAGGGATCTTAACACATCTTAACGCCACTGTCTGGCAGTTCTGAGTAGACATGTCAGGCTTCCTTCCACTCATTCCAACGTCACCTACGTCCCCTACGCTGGTCCGTCGTCCATTTCGACGTGGCACGGAGGCGAAAAGCAGCACCTGGACCTCACTGATGGGCTCGATGGATCGTGGGCAGCAGTGGCTTCAGGTTCTGAAGCTGCTGGACCTGGGAATCCAGCTCGACCTGGTCCTGGCATCTAGTGCCATCAGCGCTGTGCATACAGGCGACGCCTGGTGTAGCGGCCAGGTGTAAGAAATGGCATTCTGAATCGAAGGCAGATGAACCGCTGCCCGTTTTTACAGATAAACAGTAGGTGGTGTGTGGTTTGGAATCACACGAATCACAGTTCCCGGTCAGATCTGTCAGTAGTAGGGATTTACTGATTTAGTGTATCTTAGAACTCGGCTTCAACGAAGGCTCATTCAGTTGAGATGAGTCACTGAGCAAGCTGCTGCTGCGGCTGGTGTTGTGGTTCTTGTTGCGTCTATACGAATACTGATGATTCGGGTTTGCTGAGCTGTTTCTGATTCAGAACTCGCCAGCAGCCCGTGAGGTCATGGTTGGCACTTGGCGTGGCAGAGCTTTCATCAGCTGCGCCCACGAAGCCTACAGCCCGATGTGGCCGCCCACAGCGCGGCACCTCACCTTGTCGCAAGCAGGGGTCGGCTGGGAGTAGCAGGCCTTCCTTGTCCAACCTGGTGGAGGCCTTTGTTCCATTTTGTTCCTATAGTTCCTGGAATCCATTCTGAGAATCATCGGGCTTCTCCATTGCCCCCGCCAACCCCAAATCCCACAATCCGAGACACCCAGCAGAGCCTCAGGAAGGAAGGCTGTTTCTATGTTGTTTGGAACTGGGACACCTTTGCACTTCGGGGGCTTTGGTGAGACTTTTGCCTTCGTCCTGAAAGATCTTTGGAGCAAAACACCTGTGGATCCCTTCAGATCCTTTGGCAGGTCATTTGCAGGTCCTGTGTTTCCCCCATGTTTCTTTGCTGCGTTCATGAAAGCTCAACAAACCTGGAACCATGGCCTCGGGAAACACCAATCACTAGAATCGCATGTCTCTGTCATGTGGAGGCTGCACAAACGACCCGAAAACGACCCGAACGACTTCAGGTGATCAGCGCGGCTGAGAAGGGACAGCAGTGGGCTTTGGCACTCGCTGCCGCCGGTGCCGGAGTGACGCGCGGCCGCAGTCACCGGCCGACGCGGGTCGCGCGCGACGTCGGACGTGGTCCGTTCTGTTCGGAGCCTTGTTTTGGACTGGGAAGGGACTGACTGGTTGGGAGGGAATGGAGGGAGGTGAGGTGTGAAATTGTTTCTCATCCATATTTCGTGATGCAGATGAGATGCTTCTCGTTCTTCGTTGTCGGAGCTGTCAGGGGGAGGAAAGATCGATCGGTGCCGACAACCCCATGAATTCAGTCGTGAATAGTATCACGAAGTAGTCTTGGTTTTCAGGCCCCCCAATTGGCCAGTTGCAGCTGGAACGGTTCCAGTTGCAGGCCCCAGCTGATCGCCCTACCAGCTGATCACCCCACCGGCTCGCCGCAGCCACCGGCTCTCCGCATGTTCAACGTCAGCACTGATGCTGCAGGGAGTTGGACCTGATCTCGCTGAACACCGCGGCCGCCTGGTCATGGACCGCCGTGGGTGGGAGAATGACCCGGGGGGGTGAAAACCCCGGTGCTTTCTCCGGTGAACACAGAGGATGGACGAGTCCATCCTCCGAGTCCATCTTCCGGGATCGTTGAAGCCAGAAGAAGGTGTTTTGTTTCAACCAGGCGGACGCCTGGACGCAAGATGGAAGACTTTGCCGAGGGTTTATGGAGGACCAGGTGGAGGCGACACTGGAACGTAGAGCTCCCAGTTTTTTTTTTTCTTCTGCTCCTCGCTGAGCCAGATGAGCCAATTCAAGAGGAGTGGAAGATACCAGGCCCGAAACTGGAGCCCAGACCAAGAAGGAAAAATACCTTGTGGATCCTTGTGGTCTTACTGTCTTACCCCTCCTTAACACTTTCGCAGTAAGTTCAAGAAGTGATGAACCCAGAGCCGGATAAACTTTTGTGATGATTGCTGTACTAATTTTCTGGCCATGCGGTAAAGACTTGGCTATGACAATCCTCCAACATGCAGGTGAAACGCCCTGATGCAATACTCTCCCAAACAGTTCCTGTGTTGCTTCCATGGTGAAGCACCAAGACCATGGCGTCCAACGTGAGGCTAAATGTCAGAATCAGTGCGTTCCTTTCGCGCAAAGGCTACACCTCACCCACCCCCCCAAGGCGGTGGTACACTGAAACTAGGCAAGTATCCAAGTCTTCTGATGTGTGGCAGCCAGATACTGTCAGATGCCGCCACTTTCCCACGCTTTTTGACATCATTTTTTCACCCAAGGTGAGTGCCTGTGAGAAGGGCCTTCAGTGGGCGAAGGTCAATGGGCTACTGAGTGCCCAGATGCCCCACCGGGGCATCACCTCGGATGCCATCAGCTGCCCAGCAAGCACTCAGATGGACTCGTCCACCAGCAGACCCCAGATTCGCCACTTCACCAAGTCAGATGTCGAGCTCCTTGCAAGCTCCAGGTTCTCTCCGATCTTCTCTGTTCAACCAACCCTTCGACTCGACCTCCCAAGGCTTCAACTCGGCCATCCTGGCGCTGACGGCGGCGCGACGTTGGCAGAGCGCCCTGGACCTGGCGCACGCCGCAGGCGAGCGGGGCATCACCCCCCAGGCGGGGCAAGAGGTCGGTGGAGGGTAGCAAGAGCCGACTGGTGGAGTGGGACTGGTGGATGGACAGGACATGACAGGACCTTTGGATGAATTTGGGGTTTGGGCATGGTTTTGGCAGATTTTTTGGCCACTTAGAGGGTGGAAGTATATAACTGCCTGTTTGGTGGGGTCAAGAAAAAGGATCCTTTTCCGCCTCGGCGCTGACCGCTTTTACGGTCAGACTCGGGAGAAGAGCAAAGCCAAAAGCAACTCTTCCGACCAAGGTTGGGAGCTACGGCGCGTTGTTGATGGAGTGCTTCTTGGATCAATTTGAGATTTGGTTTGGGCTATACCATACAGACGCACCTCCCATCAATTCGAGACTGACCCCTTTGAGTGCCAATGCACGGTTCGCACGGGGCGAGCCGGTTCGCAACCGCTCCGAGCGGTGCCTCGACACGTGGGTCTTTGTACTACACCTCCGTATCGCTGATGACAAAGGCAGGAGCGAATGTGACCTCTAATCACTTATAGTCTATATGCTGCTAGATTATTGTAGTAGCTTTCAAGAGTGTGACGGAAGGTTTTTCTCTTTTTTGTCATGTTTCGAGGTACGACCGTACGTACCCAGATTCGACCAACCTCTTACCTTTGATTCCTCCACCAGCCAATTCCGTCTCCTTCGTTGCGGGCCCAAGGTGAGGAGGCCAGTCCGTCCCTCTTGTCGTGTCAAGAGGAGCTGCTGCGAAGCTCGCTGGAAGCCGCAGGACTCGTGGAAAAAGGAGCGACGGCCGCGGGACTCGGTAGATGTCGGTGGACACCTGTTAGGGCCTTTCCCAACCCTCCAATTGGGTTCGGTGCTGATCGATCCCGTCGGGACGCCTCACTGGCCCAGACCCAGGCCGCGCCCGCCGGTCCGTCCGCTTCGTGGAGCTGTGCTGCCCACAGGTGCCCGCCGGACAGAACGGGGTGGGGCGGGAAACAGGGAGCTACAGATAGCTACAGGGGGTTCCCCTACCGGTTAACTGGCCAGAACAGTTGGATTTGGTGCGGTGCGAACTGTTGGCGAGGAGAAGTACAGGTAGGGGGCTCCATGGTGCATGGTGAAATATGGTGACTTGGACTTGCGAAGTCATCCATGGAGATGACTTAAAATGGATCTCTGATCTCAGCTTCCAGGGACGTCCAGCTGCTTCAAGAGACGTCCAGCTAGACATGTTGGACAAGTCCCCTCAAACCACTTGATCCAAGTGACCTACTTCAGGAGTTCCAGGGATGACTTACTTCGACACCCCAAATCGATCCAACAATGAAACTCAATGCCGGATGTGGAAATTTATGGTGGGAGGGTTCCCCACGTCCAGCGGTGAAACGCAAGTTATCCCAGGACGATCGGCACCACACGTTGCGCCGTGACTTTGGGAAGTTCGACGAGAAGCGCTTCTCAGAGCTGCTTGGGTTGAGCAAGCCGGTTTCTTATCGGCTGAAGAGGTAGTTGTTTTTTTGGCAAGGTTTTCGTTACAACCGCCAACCACTTGATGTACCACCAGCACCTTTATGCCAAAAGAGATGCCTTCAGGGAGAATTTGAGCTTCAACCGCGTTCAAATTGCGATGATGCCTCATCTGTGGTGGGTCCATCAACCGAACATGATTGGCGCCCCCCTGAAAAAAAGCTCGCAGCTTCGAGCAGCTTTGGTTTCGGAAAGGAGAAAAAAGGGACGAACATCGCTTCCAGGGGGATCTATCTTCTTCAGAAGAAGCTGCGTGAGCTTCTCCGCAGAGGGGAACCGAGGATCGCAAGGAAGGACCCTCATGATCGGATTGGCAAAAGGTAGATGATTACCGATCACAGAAGGGAATATAATATATATATATATGTTGATTTGGGGTTAACCAAATGTATAGTATTACCAATGTTGGTGACCATTACCAATGATGTAACCAACATGATGGCAACATGTTTACCACATTTACCAACATGTCTACCTTTTACTGCAGAAGGGAATATGTTGATGTTTCATGTTCTGTCAAACCTGTTGGATTTGGGGTTAAGGGGAGTGTTAGAGGGTTGGGGCTGCCCTGTTTATGTAGTCTATCTTAGTCTAAGAGTCTAACATGCTCAGGATGATTCAGGATACCTCAGGATAGCACGGAAAAGCATTCCTGTATGATGACAGGGCCAAGTTGTTTTTCACCACCACATGTTGGCACCAAATGTTCGCCTCGTCGCACATACCAGAGGAGGCAGGGAAAACAGACTTGAGCCTGTGGAAAGCACCACGGCTGCTTTGCCGAGCATCCACCTTGGCCCGGACCCGCAGCCGTCTCTCAGGTTCCGCAACTTCCTGGTGGCCGAGAACGAGCGGAACCGAAGCCGCTCGGTATGGAATTGGGAAAGCCTGGCGGCCACAGTCCGAAGCGGAGTCCATGTGTTTGGAGATGAAGGGGCGCTGAACTTGCCAAACTTCGATCTCACCCAAGGCAGACCTCGATCCGAATATATATATTATATATATATATATATCAGTTCCACTCCGCCAGGGCCTGAAGAGGCTTTAGAATCCATGTTTGGACGTGTGTTTTTTTTAAGTCAATATATTATATATATATATATACATTGGACCAACATCAACAACAACCAGACTACCGTAGGTCCCTCTTGTAGGTCCTAGCCCTAGTTGTGATGTTTTGGATGTTTGATGTGTTGTTCAAGATTCTTTCACCACATTCTAGCACATTCACACACACATTCCTCAATATCCACCTACAGCCACCAACATTCCGAGACATCCCAACAGACAACAAACCAAAGCATGTGAACTCACAAAACACATTTAAGAGACTTTCTCTCCTAACTCCTACAGCAACTTTCATGGGGGAAACTTGCCCTTCTCCTCATGTCCTACTTGTTCATTCTCACTAGAACTATCACTCATGACTCATGCCCAAGTGTGCATTCCAATCAAGGGCAGCATAATCATAGGATAACCATGAAATTCTCGGTGCAGCATCTGTCAAGTAATACAGCGGAATGAACTTCTAATTGCATGACCATGTGCATGACAGCCGCGGTGCCTCTACCCCCGCTGAACCTCACGAGCTCTCGGTGCCGGTGCTTCGTCCGGATGTCGCAGGCGGTGGCAGCCGTCAGACGGATTTCTTTCGCTTGGCCGGGAGAGCTGAGATGGGATCGGCTTCAGATGACCTGTGGCCATACTTGGGGTTCGAGACACCGAGAACACCGCTCAATTCCGCCGCGTTGAACCCACCCGAGCCGGGTCGAAGGGTGTTGGGCATTTCTCCGAAGGGTCAGATGCTTGGTCTTGGATTTTGGAAGGTGAAGGTGTATGACCGACATGTCGAGACGCCCCCATCGTTGGCTTGAACAGAGAAGCGTGGATGATTCGCATCGCAGGGTCGAAGGACTTTTTTCCCGCACAGAGCCAAACATCTATCTCATGAGATGGACCAAAAACACAAAATACGCAAGTTGGATCATGAATATTGAAGGAATTCAATCATCCGCGCCCATCCATAGTAATATCCATCCATATCCATCCATTCAACATCCCAACCCTCAATCCGTCCAAGCTCGAACACGATCCTTTGGGAAAAAAGGCAACTGACTCAATCCTTGCCTCAGGTCTACCGACAGCTGAAAGCGGTTTCAGCCTTTCCGATCCAGGCGGCGAAACCGCCAGGAAATGGTGTACCAGTGGTAGGAGGTGGAGATATTCCCAGGGATGGACTGAGATGAAGATGGAGCAGGTGGACACCAATGATAAACCCCTAAACCCGCGTGCCCGAAGAAGGATTGCGATGGGAAAAGAAACCAAGTACCTCCCACTCACAGACATGGACGTGGAAATCCCCGTGTTCGTGGAGCAAAACGGTCTTCCCCGGGGTCATGCCATCCTCCATAGTGGGTCGGGGAGTAATATGGCCACGCCCCTTGAAACCAAGAGGAATCCTTAGAATAGACAGAGGACCACTCAGGGCGACCATGGACCCGGAGATCGCTTTTTGATCGAAATAGATCGAAACATCACAACCCCCCAAATCAACATGCTTTGGAGTGGGAGCCTTGAAGCAATTCTAAGAACATCCTCTCTTTTGGAGATCACTTGAGATCCAGCCCCTGCATCTGTCAGGAGAACCTGTCAGCTGCCATTCTGGCGGCCTCAGAGGCCCAGGCCCGGTGCCCTGTAATAGCTCGCTGCACATTGAGTTTTTGCTACTGTCTTGACTTGAACATTTCAAGTTCCTTTTTCCGAGATGTTGAGCTTTTGATTTCGGTGTCAAGGGTTTCTTTGGGTGGTTCGTTCCCAGAGATCTACTGTCTTAGAGCCTTCGCCGGTCGACCTGTGGACACATGCTCCGAGAATTTTCCCTTGATGTAGGGACTTCTGCTGATGAGAGTTTGACTCATATGGACCTCTTGACCGATCTGTTTGGACGTGAAATCGTTCCAGGCCAACAAAACCTGGACCCACGAGTGTTGAAACTGGATCAGTGGAAAAACAGCAGTGAACAGCATGACTTCGTCATGACTTGTGGTTGCTTAGCCTAGATCCCATCCCATCCCATCACTGATTGGGCCTGACTCCTGTGTCTTCCTGCCTCCAGTGCAGCTCTTCCCCCGCTGCTTCAGGCCGCCCTGAAGCAGCCCAACCTGAGTGACCGGGACATGGCCGATGGCCTACGGGAGCAGGAGCTCTTGGAGGCACCGGACGGCTGGATGGGCGTAGGAAAAGGGTGATTTATTTTGGCCCGGATTGATAGAGGTCGATTGGGTTGAATCATGGTTGAGGTGTCGAGCATGGTGATTAGGATGAATCACGGTGTATTTAGGAGATCAGTTGATAGGTTTCCGGCAGAGCTTTGCTGTGGAGAAGCTCTACGTAGCCCATGACATGCCCGCCGGAGGGTCAGTGCCCGCCTTCGGAATCTTCTCTTCGAGTGGGGTTCACTTTCTTTTTGGGTTCCTCCAGCCTGAAGTGAGGGTGCAAGAGCAAGCTGCCGAAGAGCCAACTTGAGGCTTCGGTGAATCTAAATCTTTACTGTAGATATCTTAAAATGACACCCCTTAGATCCCCTCAGAACTTTTGGCCCAAAACCTCCCACATTTTTTGTTTGGCAAGCCCCACCCCAGCAATGTGTTGGGTTTTGTTTGCCATTTCTTCCCATACCCAAACACTCCATGTATGCCATATATGCCTACATTGACCCAAACCACCCCAATGTAAGCATGGCATACATGGAGTGTCTGGGATATTGGAGAGCCACCGTACCGCCACTGGCAGGGTGGAGCACGCTGGCTGTGCCTCATGCTCAAGGTCCAGGCCTTCAGGGTGGCAGGATGCGGGTGTTGGCATATACTCCCCTGCAGAGGAGGCAATGTTGGAATATGTTGAAGCCGATTTCAGCTGTGGATTCATCCTGCAGCATTTTCCCCAGACGTGTGAGCCGTGTAATGCCGTGTGGGACGCCACAGAATCGTGACATGTGGGTTGAATTCACTCTATACCCAGTCAGTGGATAACCTTTAGAATCCTTTCACATCCTTCAGCCCCTTTTGATCAGGTTTCCCCTCAAGAACAGGTGCGCTTGGTCGAACGGGTTGAATGCGGACTTGTCTTCCGACTTCCACCTCGACACGTCAGTCCAACAACTCGACCAGATGCTGGACCGGAGCCTCGACGTCGTCGTGGTGCGGTGGGTTCCAGGCGGTGGCGCCTCACCTGTTCCCAGCGAAGAAGCCGGTGCGGCTCGGGCGAAAGGAAGTGGGGCACCGCGAAGCCGGTGGGTGCTGGGCCGAAAGCGGCCGGGATCCGGCCACAGCAATCATAGATGTTTTCGGTTTCAGCGGGGAATCCCTGTTACAGCAGGACACCTTCGAGAAATCTTCAAACCAGCAAGCGATTGGACGAACAATTCCGGGCCGTGACTCGTTATGCCTCGGGGTCTGAATTTTTCTGAAGACTCTTGTTGCGGCGGTGCTACAGGGCTGACAAGACTCAAAGCTGAAAGGGAAATACTCGGAGCTCCATATGATGGGCGGAGGCCTGAAAACATCGCTTCCAAGTGGATGAGATGATCAGACTGGTGCAGGGAACCAGTCGGAATCCAATGAGGTTTGTTTGGATCCAGCCACCCTGATTCCGAGTCGCAGTTCTGTAGCAAAACGCCTAGACCCCAAACCACAGCCAAGATGAAGGTGAAGCTTACCTTCCTCCAGAAATCGCATGCGTCACCAGGTTCTATCTACTTGGCCGGATTTTTGTGCCTTCCAGTTCCAACCCCCGGGCACGGGGGCAGCTTGCCGGAACGAGTGCCGGAACGAACCAAGGATGGAAAAGGACAAGTTGAAAGAGAGGTGGCGCGTGCGACCTCCGGAGTTCGGTGACCCGTTGGGTGCGACCGAGAGATCGGTCTCCACCTCCCCAGCAGTGAGCGAAATGACGGGTGAGTGCACCAGAGTGAAGGAGCCGTCCAGAGTGCCGTCCTGCTGTTGAAGGCTCTTAGATGCTCTTAAATGCTCTTAAGGCTGTTGAAGGCATTTGAAGGCTGTTGAAGGCTGTTGAAGGCTGTTAAGTGCACATTTGGCGTTGGCCTTGACATGTTTCGCCCTGTATTTAGAGCCGACGTGCTTCGTTCGCTCTTCTGTGCAATGATCCGTTCACGCACGAACTCAGCGAGTCAGTCGATGTCAAAGGTCAGTCCTTGGTGTTCTTCCCATCGAACTGGCGCCGGTTCGGCAGGCTCTCCAGCAAGGGCCGGAGGTCCTCCATCGCACAAGCGCTGGGGAGGCATGGCAGCGAACCCTTCCAACTGCACAAATCCGAAGCCAATTCTTCACATGTTCCCACTGCACTGGTTTGGGGGGTGCTCTTCATGGATCCAGTGATTCAGACCTTAAAACGGTGCTTCCACCGTTTTCACCGACCTAGTCACTGGAGGTCTCATCTTCAAACGACTTAAGATTGAACCAGGCGGAGACACAAGGAGTCACAAGGATCATGCAGATCGAGGCTTGGAACCAACTCAATTCACTCCAAGGATCCAGTCCAACACCGATCATTTAACACATTCCACTCCAACTTCTTCATTGTTGCAGCTGCAGCCCAGTCAATTTCAAAACTTTCGACGGATGTTTCATCCGACACTTCTGACCAGAAGTCACGCATCCGTTTTCCGCCCTTGTCTTTTTGGGCGTCTTGGACCCTGAAAAGCTCTGTGCGTGACGCGTGACGGGCTGCGCGCACGCGGTGCGCGCTGGCCGTGCGATCAGACGCAGCTCGCCGATGTCCGGAAACACGTTGGGCGACGCTGGGGAGCCCAGAGGCCGATGACAGCGACCAGTCACCAGGACTCCTTGATGGTAGAAGCTTGATTTAGACTGCCCAAATTGGGATGAACAAGAACCTTTGAAGAGGCTTGTGGTTTTATTCATCCAGAGATGTCAAGAGTCGACATTTGCTAGAAGAACCCCTGGGCCACTGGGGGGGTTCTACAATATCCACCCTGTGGGTCGTAGCAAGGTTCATTTTCTTGGGGGTGTGGACACCGCTAGTGAACACCTCTTTTTTTGGGTCGGCACCCCTGAGTTCTCCAATGAGCAGCACCTCACAGCAAGTGTCAACTGCAACATGTCGTGCCCCCACCGTTGAGTTTTGAGGATGGCTGTTTATGGTCCCGCCCAGTTTCATGCGGGTTTGGTATGTCTAACAGAGTCTAACTACAGTCTAAAGAGTCTTGAAATGCAGCTCCAAGTCCAATGGTTCCTCAGTTCCTCTGTGAAGATGATTTATCAAGACGAACGCCCCCGCATTGGTCCCAGTCCACAAGGTGCCGGTCCGAAAAAGGGGGGAGCACACCGGGAACCTGCCCCGCCACGAAGGCTTTGGAAGGCCTCAAAGAATAGTCGCTCCGGCCTGTGGGCATGAGGATGAGGTGCAGAAAAGTGAACCAATGTGAATGTGCTTGGTGATTTCGGTTTCCATGCCTGTTTGCTTTCAAACTGGGAGGTTTTCTTTAGTCCCCAATGACTCCTTGACAGATCCTGTGAAGAAAAAAACAGCTTTTTTGAGCTGCGCTCATGTGAATGGCCATGTTCAGAAGGGGAAAACTTGTGGAAGAAGGAATCTGTTGGACCCCTCCCTGGCTCCAATTGCGGGAAACCAGCCCTTCGTGGTCGGATTTCATGGCGGGGAGGCCAGCTGTTTCATGATGCTTGGAGGGAGGGCGTGTCCGAAAATCCGATTGTTTGAGCATGCTTTGAGCATCAGACAACTCTCGAGTTTATGACTGCGCCGTCCTCTCGGGCTCAGTCCTCTTGAGTCATTGGCTTGGGCTCTCTTGACTCGGTCCGTTCGTTTCGCAAATGATACGCAAGATCCAACCGGATCCAACCGGTGTCCCCAGCAAAGTAGGCAGATGATAGTCAGCCCCCCATACAAATGGCTCCAAAAGTCTTGGCAAGCGGCAAGCACATGAGCTGAAATATTGGAGAAACCTTGCCCAAAGCATCACTGCTTTTAATATTATATATATAGCCCAGATGAGCGAGCAGCAACAGCTTTGAGCGAGGAACATCGCTTTGGAGATGTAAGACTTGTTTGCAATCCAACTGCTATAGGTAACATTGAGCATTTTTAAACAACTTAATGCCCTATAGGCCTATAGGGTTGAAGTTGAATCCGAGTTCTGGCCAAATCTTCGGATGACGAACACGTGGCCCAGAACTCTGGGCGGAGTCGGATCCAGCTTTTGGCCTGATCTTTGGCCGAGGTTTTTCGATCCAGAACTATTCCACATATATATATATATAGGCACGCCCGGGAAGATGAAACCATGGAACCTGATGGCATGGACCAGACTGGAAGAAGCATTTCCTATTTACCACCCAGTTTTTTTGTTTGGTTCCCTGTGTTTTTTTTTTGCAGGGTTCTGGGTCCAGACCATCCCAAGGCTAGGTACAACAGGTACCCCACAGATCTCTCCAGGTCGCACAGCACAGCATGTAGCGTTCCCTCGGTTCCCCCCATGCCACCGCAGCAGCGCCTGGAGCACTTCGCCCGCGCTGCGAGCGGAAGCGGTCGCCCAGAACTGATCCCCAGTGGTTCCTCAGACCGATCGGAACGTCAGGGCGCGGCGGGGACGGGGAGGAGGGTTGGGCCGGGCAACTCTGGTACAGTAGATCCACCTTGGAAGAGGAGTGGCAGATCATGGAAAATTCATGGACGATCTGCCAGTGGGTTTTGTGTAGATCGCCAAGGGGCGGGTTTGCCTACCAAATGAGGTCCTGCTGGTGGTTTGATGGTGGCCGGACGCCCCAGCACCTTCAATAAAGGCTCAAATAGCCGAGCAGTCAATGAGACTCTCAGGAGAGATGTGTGCAGTGCACCGTACAGTTTCAGGTATGTGTTTGGAAAGGACGAGCAGCTATGTGGGACAAATTGGGATAACTAATCCCCTCCACCTATTGAAAAACACGCCCCCCCCCCATTAACAAAAACTCGGGTGCATTTGTTTAAATAGGGGATCCCTGAAATCGGGGTGTCCATATAGGGTCAGTGGGAGGATCCTTTTGAATAGTCATTGATTACATTACATGTGACATGCAGATTTCCTGGCAGGCGCAGCTCTTTGTGAAGTTTGAAGTGCAAATTTTGTGCAGACACCTTAAGAGCTTCAAAATTCAAAACCGAAAAGTCACCCAGGAACGTATTATAAAATCCTTTATTAAACTCGTATCAAAAATTGAATGCACCTCCAGATCGAAGGGCCTTCCTTTTCCCTTGACAAAAACCTCTATTAAAATAGTGACTCTTCTTTAAAGTTGTCCAAAGGTGATGTCGCTGTGCCATGCCGTTTTGCGCTAGTGCGTTTGCGTGAGTCCGCGCCATGGTAGACAGACAGGGTGGACAGAGGTGGGCAGTTAAGGTTGCTTTTGGAACCTAATTCCCCAAAACAAACTACACCAAAATCGGCCATGTTGGCAATTTAGTTTAGATATAGGGAATAATAGGTGTAC